CACACACGCTACATTTTCTTTATCCAGTCTATCATTGATGGGCATTTAGCTTGATTAAATGAATAGACAGCTTATTTAGCAAATAGAGCAACCCATAAATTTTATCATTTAGCTGTTAATGAAACCTGTGGACCTGGAGTTAATTAAAATACTCTTTTGTTCATACTCTATATGAATGTCCCATTGAAAGACTTGGATTAAAAACTTACAATTTTTTTTCCAAAGCATGTATCACCTTCTAATGTCTTTACTATTTAGCTCCCTCTCCAGTAGAATGTAAACTCCATGGAGGAAGATAATTTGGTTTTATTTACAGATATATTCCAAGTGCCTAGAAAAGTTCCCTGTGCAAAACTTGACCACAACAGATATCTGTTACCTTAATCTTGGCTTGGCCTCTGCTTTCTATCTTTAGATAGCCTTCTCTCTTACCCTCATACTTTATATTTTTCCATATGTGGATTTATCTTACTTCTATATTGGTGTCACTTTCATAGCCCTTTTTTTATATGGTGGCCCCAAAAACTCCAGGCTTAACTCATCTATACAGCTACCTAGTTCCAGAGGAAATAGTTTCAACTTTCTAAGAGTCCTAGTATATTCTCAAAGGTATACTTTATTAGGCTGACTGGTTTATTTGCCCATTCTTGAGTCAGTCATTGTTATCTGGGTTATATATAAGATTGAGAAATAGAATGCTCTAGTTGTTTTAGATGCTAATCAAAGTCTGGAGTGAGCAAAAGTAGGATCCTTTGGAGCTTGTTAGAAATATGGACCCTAAGGCACCCCCTCCAGACCAACTGAATAAATTTGCATTTTAACTAGATTTTCTGGTGATGTGCCTTTAGTCTGTGCCCATAGATGGAACTGGAAGAGAGTGGGGAAAGCAATGAAACCAGCTCCACCTAAGCTGAAAGTGAAGTAGGAATGGTTTCCTAGAGAAAACCCAAATACTTTTACCAGAAGACAGAATGGATGTCAGGCATGCAAAACAACAGCTATCCAATGCAATTTACAATGTGTATTAAGCAATTATTACATGCCAGTTATTATACTAAGCATTTTCCAGGCATTATTTAGTATTCACGGTATGTTGTAAGAGATTATCAGGTAGGTTACCTTATCCTTCAAGAAAGGAAATATCCAGAGTTTTTGTTGAGAAGGCAATGAGCAAAAGTGACCTACAATATGGTATCAGACAATAATAAGTGCCATGGAAAAAAAAATTGAACAGGTTAGAGAGATAGAGAAAGACCCAGGAAGATCAGAGAAAGGGATCAATTTTGATAGGAACAAACCTGAAGAAGTAAAATTTGAGCAAAGACTTGGACTAAGTGAAGGCCATCTCATGAAGTTGCAGGGTAACACCATTCCAGACAGAAAAAAAGAGAAGGATAAAGCCTTGAATTGTTGGATTATGAATGAACTTGGCATGTTTGAAGAAAAGCTAAGAATAAAAAAAACAACAGTGTGGCTAGAATGAAGATGTTACTGAAACACAAGGGGTTCTGTCTGGGTCCTGCTGCTTGCTGCACAGAAAGCCATTCACCAAGATAACCAGTATTTACAGGGAAGAAGGATTTTATAGGGTGCTGCATCCAAGGAGATGAGAAATCAGTTTCAAATTCATCTCCTTGACTGACTAAAATTAGGGGTTGATATAGCAGGGAAGAAATGTAACCATGTATGGGAGACTAGGAATTAGGGAGGAATAAGGAAGAGGAATTAATCAACAAAAAACAGGTGGTTAGGCAATCATGACAGGTGAAGGGGTCTGATGTCTCTCTGTCCGGATATGGTGATCTCGTAAGTTTCATTTCCTTGACACTATCTGGTTAGTTTCCTGAGCATGGAAATTAGATATGACAAACGTAATTTTCTCAAGTTTCAAGACCAGGAGGGCCATTTTTTTCATGTTTATTCAAAAGAAACCATAAACATCACTTCTGTGGGCAACTGGGCTGGTTTCAAAGTGAGTATAAATGAATTCAAAGAGCTAGCCAAGAGCTATTTTCTGAAGGTTCTTCAGACAATACTTAAGAGATACTCAATTATTCTTAGTATTATGGAAAATCACGGTATACTTTTGAGCAGGAGAGTAACATGATTTGAGTTGTATTTTAAATGTAGTATCTAAGGAACATGCAATATTGAATAAAATGTAGGTAGAGAAATGTAAAATGTTTTGGGTACTAGTTAGGAGAATATTGCAATGCTAGTGTAAGCAAGAGATGGGAGAAGTTAAGACCAGGATGGTTAACAGTAGAGTGGATGAAAATATATTGTGAAGTAGAGCCAACAGAAATTGCTAGTGAGTTAAAAATATATATGTGTGAGGGAAAGAAAACTGTTTTTCCTTGAGAAAATCAGTAGATATTTGTGCTAGTTACTGAAATGAAGAACCTTGGAGGTGGAGGAAATTGGAGAATCAAATTTTTGACTTGTCAATTTTGAGATGGCTAGTATACATAAAACTGTTGGGTAAACAATTGGATAACCTACTTTGAAGAGGCTTGAATTAGAGGTAAGAGTTTGGGGAACAAGTGAGATTACATAACAAACCATGGATCTGAATAATCTAATTCTGACACTACTTTACGGTCACTAAATCATACAGTACAAGAAAAGACTCACCATCTTATAACTGCATCCACTGGGATACAAGTCCTCCTCAGTTCCTGTGGTAAAGGAAAGAAAGCTCTCATATTCACTTTCCTAACTTTTTAAAAATTATACTTTAAGTTCTGGGGTACATGTGCAGATCGTGCAGGATTGTTACATAGGTATATACATGCCATGGTGGTTTGCTGCATCCATTCCCCCATCATCTACATTAGGTGTTTCTCTTAATGTTGTCCCTCCCCAATCCCCCCATCTCCTGCTATCCCTCAGAAGTGACATAACCCCTTTCTCTCACAGTTTATTGGCCAGAACCAGTTAGATGTCCCTACCTAACTGCAGAGCCCTGAGAAATGTGGAGTACATGGAGTGTCTGTGAGGACTGCTGTCTCTTAATATATCTCACTTCTAAGAAGAAAAATAGGGATTCAGAGAGAAAAAGCCATTCTCACCAAAATGTTAAGATAGCCCACAGTAGCTTTGTGTGTTCTTAAAGGTAATTTAGCATAATTATCTAGGATTAGAACAAAAGCAAGTTGCAATGGAAATGCCAAGAGATGACTTAGGGTGGCAAGGTAAGAAGGCTTTTGCTTTATTTAGTAATTTCTATAAGTCTCCAATAGCCACTTTTTGTCAAATCTGAAGTGAGCAATTAATGTTTTCTCTGACCTTATGTAAAATGATATGCAAATGAAACTTTAAATATTTATTTCAATCAGATAACTGCTCATAAAACCCTTCTAGGACTTTATCTTTTAGAAGAGGGGTTGGCCACTATGACCCATGCAAAACTAGCTTGCTGTCCATTTTTTAATTACTCAAGATCTAATTTTAAGAAGTTGGGGAAGAGTCAAAAGAAAAATATTTCATGACGGTGATATTAGGCCACCTCAATTAAATTTACCCACCTCAAAAATGAAAACAGAACAGCAAAATTGTTGAATTAAGTTCTCTGAAGATAGTGTTTCTTCTCCCCACAAGGCACAATGACATCTCTGTATGTGATTTTGAGAACAACGTATTCAATTATTTCAATTGCAATAGTACTTAACATAATGAGAAATTCTAGTGATTTATTTTGTAAATACTAAATTGGTTTGAGTCTCTTATTTTGAATGTTGCATTCCAGATTGGGAGTTCTGAATAGAATTATTTTGAAAGCAAATATTTATCTGTTTAGAAAGTCCAGAGACCTTGTTTTCTGTCCAGCTAGGAAAATCAATATTTTCTTTTGGAAGGAAGTGGTTTGGCTGCTTCATCATCAAAATGCTTTCTATCAACACTGTGGCATTTAATTTTGAAAAAAATGTGAATTCTGAAGAGACGGGGGTTTGGAGCTATTGAGTGATGAGTTTTGAGAGTGTTGCTGCTCTGGAAAATAGTGGCTTGGTAATGGCATTAGTTACAGACACATAGATTGTCTAAACACTTGCTCCTATTTTAGGGAACAATTCATTGACTCTGTTACTTGGTTAGGATAGAATATCTTAAATACTAGGCCATTTGTGCCAGTGTGTTCCATAATGGCCTTAAAGAAAAGAGTTCAACATTGAAATATTTTCAGAATAAGAATTAATTGCTTTCTTGTCACAGTTCTTAGTTATTTCAATCAAATGTCAGTTTTATTATTAATAAATAATAAATCAAGTAATCGTGTTTTATATAAAAATTAGTAGCATTATTATTATTTCCCAACTAGAAAGCATTATTTAGTGATTTTCAGTAGAAATAATCCTTTAAATGTCAAATACTCTGTGAAATAAAATTAAGCAATTTTCATATATACATGTGAATATATTCCTGTTAGTTTATTTATGCTTACATATTTACTATTTTAAGGACTGGGGTAGCTTAGAATAACTCAATTTATCAATAAGAAAATAGGTTTATGGTAAAAGATAAAAGTTCAAGAAAAAGAACACGTGCAGCCTGTTATATGAATTATATTTATTTAAATTTCTCATAAAATCTACAGGTGGTGAATAAGTGACTATAAGGAAAGTATGAATATTAACAAAAACATTGGAGATACTAGAATTTTTTATTAAGGAGAAACAGACACATTATCCAGCTCAGTTAAGCTTTGATTATGAGATACTAAATTAATACCAATTTAAATTTAGTTAATTATTCAATTTAAGTAGTACAAGTACTTGATAAATATTTGCATTTGAAAAGTCATAACCAATGGAAGAAGTGTTATTTATATCTATTTAATGTACTAATTGGATGGTAGTAAAAATATAGTGTAGTAGCAGCTGCATATGTAATTGAATTTGCTGGAATTATAAAGAAAAAAACTGATAGCAAAGTAAATGGAGTGAAACAGTACTAAAACAAAAATAGCACAAACTGATTTGTGTTTCTCTGAAAAATTCCAGGTGTTGTCAAAGTGGATTATGGAGATGTGTCAGTCAGAAAAACACTAAGAGAAAATCTGAAGTGTAAGCCCTTTTCTTGGTACCTAGAAAACATCTATCCGGACTCCCAGATCCCAAGACGTTATTACTCACTTGGTGAGGTATGAATTATTTATTTTGGTTAAGTTAAAAATATATTTTCCAAACAGAGCAATTTCTAAGGAGCTCAGTGTTTTTTATGTTATGAAAATGCTGTAAGGGATTTTTAATTAGATCATTTTAAATAACTTTCATGTTTCAAGGACCCTGAAGTCTTCATCATAAGAAATCATAAAAATGAGGGGAAATTTTAAGATTGAACAACAACAACAACAAATATGTTTTTACCAACAGTTCTAAAGCTTTTGGTCATTTACCCTCTTAAAATTTACTGTGAACTCCAAAGACCTTTTGTTCATGTGAGTTACATTATTTTTACTGTATTTAAATTAAAACTGAGGACTTTAAAACCCATTTCTCTACTAATTAAACATTATATAATAAACAATTACATGTTACTAACATATTTTTGATAAGTAAATATATTTTTCCAAGCAAAGTCAAGTAATGATAAGAGACTGCCATTGATTATATTTTTGTAAATTGCATTAATGTCTGGCTTAATAGAAGATAGCTGGATTGTTATATGTGCTTTGATATTCATTCTGTTGTAATACAAGACAGTCAATTACAATAGCCTCTAGAAAACTGTACACTCAGGAGAAAGTGAAAGTGAAAGCTGCAAGTAATATCTTGATATTATTCCAAAAGTGGTATTGAGTCTTTAAGACACTATGAAAATCATGGATCTGCACCATTCTTTTCTAAATAATACAAAAGTATTTCTAAATAAAATATTCATTATAGCTATACAAACATGTACATAACGTATGTGTAACATAATTTATGTATTTCTAAATAAAATCTTTATTATAACTGAGCATGTATATAATGTATGTATAGTATATATATAATATATTCATACACATAGATTGATAATTATATATAATCCTATAGTCATACATAGATATGATTATATATAATATATTCCTATATATCATATATATGTATCTCAATTGGTCAAAATAAGAATTATATTTCCTTTATGAGTTATATCTTCCATATTGATAATTTTCCACTTAATAGGAATCAAAGCTACCTTAATATCAGTTGTGATTAAAGCATTCCAACAGCAACAAATAATGCGCTTAGGAAATAATTATCAAGTAAGCATGTTCTTAGTATTAAAATGCCATTGTTGTAGGTCATAGTGATAAGAATATCTGAAAATTTATTTGGTTCAATCTATACTGTTTTGGGTCATCTGCCTTACTGTTCTTAAACGTTATAAACATACCTTACTAGCAATTAACTTGAACAAATTAAAGAAAAACAATACTTGAGAGACTGGAGCCCTAGCTGAATTGTTTTTAGCAACAGATTTATGTTCCATATTCATGCCCTATTGTCCAATTCTCCACTTTCTCATTTGTCATGTAAATATAGAGCTTGATTTACATATATTTAACTTTAATCTGAATAACGTAAAAAAATTCATGTGTAATAACATTTATTTTACCACTTTCTAAATGTGACTTTAGTCACTTAGTCCTGTGCCTCAGGTTTTTTTTTTTTTTTTTGGTTTGGTTTTTTTGTTTTTATTGGAGAGGGGATATTGTTGCTATTGCTTACAAATATGTAACATCCTCATGTTGTCACTGATTTCACAGGGATTTATATTTAATGCAGAAAATATATGACAGTGCTTTTAAAAATAGAGCACTCCTTGCATGTTAGTTATTATAAACCACTGAAGATCTCCAATAAAATATCTAATACCCTTATCAATTTATCAAAAATTTGTTTGAACATTCATGAACCTGACTGTATCCTCAGAAAAAGGGAGTTTCTCTATTCTTATTATAAAATGTGTCTGTCACTGTTGTCAATGGACCCAAATCATTAGTAAACATCGATTTGTTTTTCTAAAAGGAGGAATGACCAGGAGCTATCACAGGACAGAAATAAGCAAAGGAGACTTTTGGAAATTCTCTGTGGCCACCAAGGTGATTCCTGAGAAAGACTCAGGGCTCTGTAACAACTAAATGTTTACTTCCAAGTTAAAAATCAAATTTTATGCTGTCGTGCACTCCATCAAGAAAACCTAATTCACTTTCTAAAAAGTAAAAATATAGTGTGGGCAAATTCCTTTGTAAACTACTGCTTTCAAATTAGCTATTTTCTACAATGGATTGAGTGGCCATATTTTAATCTGTAGAAATAGTTTGTGAAAAGATTTTAAAGAGAGGAATTGAGCCTTTCATAGTATCTAAAAGAGACAGTATGGTGTATTGAAAAATTTCCAGTCCCTGAAATCAAGCATAGGAAAGTTCAAATCCTAGCCTTACAGCTTTCATTTCAAGTGACATTAAGTGTCCTCTTCACTACGTCTGTGAACAGAATAAAGATAATATGTCTTCAGTCATCACTGGGTTATAGTGATGACTGAAGACATAAAACATCTAGCCCAATGCCTAGCAAGAATAGTAGCACACCAGTAGTTATAGTTATAATAATTATAGCTACCATTTATTGATTTCCTATGCCAACAGTTATTCTAGGTGGTTTATATGAATTGCATAAAAATTAGAACAACTTTCATGACTTGGGTTTTGTTATTATCCCAGAGTTAATAAGGAAACTGACACACAGAAAGTTCATGTGCTTGGCCTATAGGTCACACAGCTAGTTAACTCTTGAAGTTAGGATAAATTACATGCTAGTCCAACACTAAAGCTCACTTTTTTTTATATAACTAGAGGGAGAAATAGATGATTTAATTACATTTTAATCATTCGAAATGTTTTTATTAAATGAGAGCTTGAAGCTGAGTGTGTTGGCATACACCTGTAGTCACAGCTATTCAGGAAGCTGAGGCAGTAGTATGGCTTGAGCCCAGGAATTCAAGATCAGCTGGGCAGCACAGTGAAAACCCATCTCCATTTAATAAAAATAAAAACGGAACTTGTGATGTCTTAGTCCAGTAGGGCTGCTATGGGAAAATACCTTAGATTGGGTAATTTATAAATAATAGAAATTTATTTCTCACAGTTCTGGAAATTAGGAAGACCAAGATCAGGGTGCCAGCCAATATAGTGTCTTGTAAAGGCTGACTGCTTCCAGGATGGCACATTGTTGCTAAGTCTTCATATGGAAAAAGAGGCAAATGACATATTCTCACATGGACAAGGGCCAAGACAGCTCCCTTCAACCTATTTTATAAAGGCACCAATCCCATTCATAAGGATGAAGCCCTCATAACTTAAACACTTCCCAAAAGTCGTCTCCATCTCTTGAATCTTCTGATTCATATTTAGACATGTTATCTCTTGGGGCACTGGTCCTCTTGGCCCCACTTCTTAATAGGGATTAGATTTCAACATGAATTTTGGATGAATGCATTCAGACCATATCAAACTGAAACCTTTGTTATATGTTGAGAATCCAAAGTCAAATAAGGAAAGACCTTTACTCTTCAGCCTTTCTACCAAAATAGGGATGTGGGGTGGGTATGGCAAGAGAGAATCTGACAAGAAATTCAGTAGAAATGAAAGATGCCCTGTATGTGTTATATGGTAGGCTATAACTGCTGTTTGAAAAACCTGATATATTTATGAGATATGTTAACTTCTGAGCTTTCTGGAGTATTAATGTGCTGTAGTTTTCCACTTTAAAACTAGCCTTAAAGAAATGCAATCCAGCATCTGTTTCCATGGAAACAGAAGGACAGATTCACCAAGCACTACATCCTAATTCAGTTTTGCATGGCCATCTATGCATAATTTAAGATGGACATTTTGATAATGAGTTAGAGTTGAACTGATAATGAACAACAGTCATTTTCTAAAGCTTTTCTTTCTTACTGCCTGTTATTAATCATTATTGAAAGAATGTAGAAAGATATCTTTCCTTATGTATAAGACACCTTCTTTTGAATAATTAGAGGCCCAAAATGATAGATATCAGGTGTTCAAGCTACTTGTCATCAGAACAAGAACAATATTTCTTTGCAGTATATTCATTTGTACTTCTCACTGAATTTGGAGTGAAATTGTGTGACTTTAACAATTTATATATTTTTAATTTCAACATTTTTCAAAGTCTATTTAATATTGCTGTGTATGGGTGAATATAAATGTTTCCCTGTCAATTTCCTTTTATAACTTTCCTTGTTGTATTGGAATATATAGAGGCAAATGTGGTATTCAGTTTCTCTATTATATACCATCACCAAAGTCAATAGTTATTCATATCAGATATCTGTATCTTATTTTATGTTTGCATCTTACTCATATAATTGAAATATTACTTTATCCAACCCATGAATTACATGCAGTTTCAAATGAGAAATTAAAAGCTGTGCAATTGCTTTGAACTAAAACCTTTAAGTGAGTTAATGAAGCATGTGTCTTTTAGACTCAGTAAGCAGATCATAATGGAATAAGGAAGTTGAGCTCTTTGCAGCATTAAATTCTCTCTTAACTAGCCCTGTAGCTTATGTAGATTTAACATGCTGGGTTCTGATCTTGTAAATTTAAGTGTAAGACTGAAAAAAATGGCATTCTAAAATAGAATGTCTCAGCCCAAATTTTTGGGTATGACAGGCTAGCATTCTGGAAAAAAAATACATTGTGAACTAAAATTGAACACAATCTGAGGGCAAATGAAGGAGATGAGGATTTCAGGAGCCAAGTGACAACTCTTGGTGCTTAAAATTTGCATTTGCATGTTGCTTTGAAGAGATTTTGACATTAGTCTGTGCATTTTGTATTGTGTATTTGACCTCAGGATTTCTTTTTCCTCTTATATCCTTTAGCCACAGTAAGTAGTTAAAGTTCTTGCATATATTTGTATTGTGTTCCTTAAATATTGCTGAAGAGCAAATTTAAGTAATGAAAAATAGACATCTGTGAAGCTGCTAGGCTGCAGAGATTAACGGTAAAATCAGTTACTGCCAAATGCAGAAGCTAAAACGCTTAAAAGTTTACCCTTCCTCTTGGTAATCAGATCTATTTATAGATTCACAGTCTTCTTGGCCCTTTAATAGGATGACCAGCAAGAA